GTATCTATTTCTCCTGCTGTGTTGGCAATGCCGAGATTCTCTCCATCTCTTGGTTCACGTTGCTGAGGTTTGCCTCTGAGGCCCCGGCTCATAAAGACTTTTGAGGTCTTTCTCTTGTGCTTCAGCACTATCGCATTTCTCAGAGCCTGCTGTAGAAGGGTTGCTGTGCTCTAGTGGAGACATATTGTCCTGGATGTTATTGGTTCTGTTTTTATGCTGGCATCTAGAGTTTGGAATGACCCTAGGTGCTGATATCTGGCCTTGTCTTTGTTGGGTGGGTGTTCCATTCCTTGGTGTCTGTTGCCTTCCCTCATTCTTAGGAGAGTGTGGTGGCTGTGGGTTGCCTGGTAGAGAGTGCTCCTGAGATCTAGGTGTTGGGAGCTGACACTTTGGAATGGAGATGGGCTGAAAGGAGGGAGTCGAGAGGGTCTACAGGAGAGAGAAAGGCAGGGTGTGCACCAGGATCTGCACAGTCTCCTGGGGATAGGCGCATAGAGGAAAAGGAGGCCACAGCAGGTAGTTTGTTTCACAGCTGGCATCAAATGGGGGATTGGATTTGGAGAAGAGGAGAAAAAGTGAAGATAGCCTACCTTCTTCTCTGGCCAGTGTGGCCAACGATTCCCAGCAAATTCCTTGGGTTATTTTCCTGTCTCAAAAGAACGGCGTGCTGGGCGGTGGTGGTGCACGCCTTTAATCCCAGCACTCGGGAGGCAGAGGCAGGCGGATCTCTGTGAGTTCGAGGCTGGGCTGGACCGATAGCCTCCAAAACAATACAGAGAAACCCTGTCTCGAAAAACCAAAAAAAAACCAAAACAAAACAAAAAACAAAAAAACAAAAGAACGGCGCCGCCATTCCATCAGAAGTCTAGGAAACTCCAGCATCTTCTCTAATCTGTGGGCTTTGTTTGTTTTGCTGAGACCAGGTCCCATTCTAGTCCACACTGGATAATCCTATTCCTTTAGCCTCCCAAGTGCCCGAAGTACAGATGCCAGCCATCACCCCTGGTTTTCTGTTTTGAGTCTGTGTCTTTTTTCTTTATTTATTTTGCTTTATGAGTATTTTGACTGCATGCCTGTGTATGTACCACAAGCATGCCTGTTGGCTCTCCTGGAACTCAGATTATAAATGGTTATGAGCCTCAATGCTGGGAACCAATCCCTAGACTGCTGGGATAGCAGGAATCTCACCAGCCCATTCTCTCCTTTTTCTGTTTCATGTATTTTGTCCTATGTACACCTTTCTTAGTCAGGGCTTCTATTGCTGTGAAGAGACACCATGACCATGGCAGCTCTTATAAAGAAAACACTTAATTGGTGCTGGTTTACAGTTTCACAGGTTTAGTCCATTATTGTCATGGTGAGAAGCATAGCAGCATGCAGGCAGACATGGTGTTGGAGAAGGTGCTGAGAGAGATCTTGATTCTGCAGGCAGCAGGAAGACACTGTGAGCCACTAGGCCTGGCTTGAGCTTCTGAGACCTCAAAGCCCACCCCCTAGTGACACACTTCCTTCAACAAAGCCACACCTACTCCAACAAGGCCACACTTCCTAATAGTACCACTCTCTGGATTTATGGGGGCCATAACATCCAAAAGATCTTCCAAGTCCTTTCAATTTTACTTTTAAAATATTGTTCTGTTTTTTTTGTTCTGTTTTCAGAACAGGGAAGTTCTAAGCTGGCCTGTAATACATAGTGAGGTCCTTAACAACAAAACACAAGTTGAAGTATTTTTGTAGTTTCAAAGGAGTCTTATTTACTGTCCAAATTTACAATTAACCCTATCTGCCTCCTGCCCACCAGAAACATTCCAGCAGAGCAGAAATAATTATACTTGAGACACACCATGGAACTAAGGAAAGCTCCTGAAATCACACTGCTTATCCATGCCTCTTTATTTAAGAAAATATTTTCCAGAGCAATGTGCCTGTTATCATTCTTTTAATTTTTTAAAATTACAATTATTTATTTACTTATTATGTGGGTATGTGTGAGGGGACATGCATGCCACCTCATGCATGTGGAAGTCAGATGACAACTTTGGGAGTCAGTTATCTCTGCCATGTGAGACCCAGGATCAAACTCTGATCATCTGACTTAGAGACAAGTGGTTTTAGCTGCTGAGCCATCTCACTGGTCCTGAGTAGTGCTTCTTAATGTGATCTTCCCCCAAGGCCAGGGAAATGTCTCAGGCTGCAGACAACAGCGTGGGGGCACGGCAATGTTGGGATAAGTTTCTTAAATGGGACCCCTTTTATCAACAAGGAAACTCATTTGAATTACAAAAAAAAAAGGTCGAGGGGAGACCCACCTCACCATGACATTAGAGTTGATGCTAATTTGCTTTCTGTTGAATATTGAACATGCTATTTGCATAGCTGCCTTAGCAAAATCAATCCCCATGTTTTATTATTTGAGGATTAAAAAAAAAAGTTTTCCTCCTAGGAGCCAAAAGTCGAGTCAGCCCTGTAGATTAGAATCAATTCAGCAGATGGAAAATAAAGCTTTGAAGCATACTCTGCCTTCTCCAAGCACGTCGCAGGCATTAGTGATAATGGGAGCCCTGCCTGTGCATGGAGGGGCTGCATCTGCCAGGTTCCCGAGCAGCCCCCCCCTCATCCTCAGGTTGTGCAGCCCCGTGACCTTCATGGAGGAGGAGAGCAGAACCTGGCTCCAGCGTCTCCTCACCTTGGGCTGGAATGCATAGGACAAACACAGGCACACAGAGTGCTCTTTCCCTCGGATTGCTGAAACACAGCCAGCTCAGGCATGAATGAAAACTGACTCTGTTTGTCCTTCGGAGCACTGTATCGTCTAGTGGTCTGGTTTGTTAGAGCTCTCCAAAATTCAGGGAGCACTAGACAGGGGAAAGATGAAGCTCAGGGTCAATGTTTAGTTTCATTCAACCACTTCCTGTGCCCATCCGCACATTTCAAACAAAGAGATGAATCTGAAACTTTTTGAGACAAGCCATTAGGAACGCCATGACTGCTCTCTCAATATGGTCAGTCCTGTAGCACCCCTATGCTCAGATGTATTTCATCTCTTTGTTTTTGCAGATTTTAGTACACATGTATGTGTGTGTGAGTTGTGTGTATAACACATGCACTCAGGTTCCAAAAGAGGGCATCAAATACCCTGGAGCTGAAGTTAGAGGGTATCATGAGCCTACTGATGGGCCCTGGGAACTGAACTCTGGTCCTCTTCAAAAGCAGCTCACATTCTTAATCACTGAACCATCTCTCCGTACCCTCATCTCTTAATTTTAAGACAAGAATGAGGGAGATACTAGAGCACACTGTATAACACACCCTGATTCCTCTTGCCTGGGGTGACCCCTTTGCTGTCCCATTTCTTCGACATAGATTCCAGGTCACATGAGGACTTGTACTTGGCACATCTTGAATGACCATTTATGCTTTCACCTGGCCTGCCCAGAGACCTATCTGCACTGGCAGACTAATGCTGTGGCCCCCCAGTAAACCTTGCAAGCCTCTCTCCTCACTTCTGTAGATCAAAGTCAGGAGGAATTGTCAGGACCTTCCCTGCCCACGGAGCGTCCCAGAATCCCATTAATGTTGACTTGAGCGCTGGGGCGATTGCAATCATGCCTGCTTTCCAGAAAGTCGCTTGAAAGAGAAGGCAGCATAAGTGATTCGTAAAGTTCAGTGATTTAGCTGTTCAAAGACTGGAGTGGAGTAGAAGAGCCTTTGAGATTTCAACCCAGGCCTCGTTCCCAGGAGCTGGCCAGAGTGCTGAACCCAGAAGCCATCCACAACTATCATGTAAGCCCACTGGCTGTATAGCTCCCAGAAGGCCACCACATATACCCCATAGGCTAGCAATAGTGGCCCTAGGACAGGGGTAGGGGCAGCCAGAGGGTTCTCAGCAATGCCAGGCTTAGACTTATGGTATGAGGCATGAAAACAGCTAGTGGAATTTCAGAGTACATAGCATCAGATAGTTCCCAGACCCAGGGGAGCTATATTTAGCTTAAGCAAGTTTGGAAAGAGCTCAGAGGGAGGGTGGGACCATTCAAACAAACATTAGTTGTATGGGAACTTGGGGAAAGGCGGAGACTTCTTCAGTATCAGGAATTTGGGAAGAAAAACCTGCATTAGGAATCTCGGAATGTGGGGTGTGGAGAACCCAGGAATCCAGAGTTCCAGAGAGGGAAAGAACTCCACATAAAAGTTCCCACTGAGTTGCCTAGGCTCTTTCAACATCTCTCCCCTGGAAAATTTATTTCAGGCAGATTAAATCTGTCTTTTCCTTTCACTTGTGTGTAATTCATGATTCTCAAAAGTTCCCAGTTTATCCCATGCTTATCTTTCCACTGCTTCCCAGAGGGGAAACAAGAAAGAGGTGCCCAATGGGAAGCCTGCCCTGGTTCTTAGGGATCAGAGGACCTTGGGTCCACTTCTCCCACTGAACCCCCTGTCTTAAGGGGGCAGCTGGGCGGCATGGCTCCTTTCTCTAGCCTGAGGATCCACTTCTCCATTAACATAGACACAACACTTGGTTGAAGCTGAAGGAGAAATTTTCTGCTTGGCATGTTTTATGGCCCATTATTATCTCTCATACACGTCCCAGGCCTCTTTGAGGGACACAGCAGACTATGTCTAGTGAAAGCATTGGAGAGAGCTCCCCACTTTACACAGAGATCAGCCTCATGAGAGAATCCATCTGAAGCCATCCCCCACTCCAACCTCAAAGGCGGTCCACACTACTAGGATTCTTCCCAGCTCTGGAACCTTCTTTGGCCTCTGTGAACTCATTGGTTACTTCCCCATGGAGGCAGGCGGTCCTTAGATTTGGGTCTCTGCAGTGCTGTCCCCTGGCAGCTTTTTCATGGTGGCTGGGGCAGGAGTGATAGATTGTCCCCCATCCTGCCCTATCCGCTGCTCATTATATGTGGGACGTAATGTCTGGAAGTGGAACAGACATTACTTACCAACAATGGCGGGGGAGGGGGTAAAATCAATCACTTCCCCCACTCCCCTCAAACATAACAACAGCCATGATTTAGTTCTTCCATTGGGTGGGAGAAATCAGAAATACATGTTTGTACAGACACAGCAGTCACCACAATAAAGGAAAAAGGACAATATGTACGTATGTTCAAAGTGGCAGGGGGAGCTTGCCCCATGTCAGGAGCTACTGGTTTCAGAGGATGTACCCCAATTCCCATCCCAGACAAGGAGTCTGGTCACAGATAAGGTATGGAGGCAATACCCTTGCTCCTCCAGATTCGCGTTATCAACACCGGGGGTGTGGGGGCGTTCCTTAAGTGCTTCCAGATGAACCTTAGAGGGCATCTGAGTTTCTTTATCTCACACCTCAGGTCTGGGCTCCTCATTGTGGGACTTGTCCTAGTGCCCTAGGCAGAGCAGAAGCTGACAGCAAAGTGACTTAAGGGGCCGGGTGAGAAGAGGGCACTGGCAACGGCGACCTCTGGGCATCTCCTTGGTTCTTATCCCCAACACCACTCACAGCCACTTCCAGAGAGAGCTGCAGATTGTAGCTCCAAGAAAGGCCCCCGCCCAAGGAAAGATGGGATGGTCAGATGAACAGGCAGATGAGAGAATGCCAGCAACCCCGACCCATGGAGGAAGGCTCTCTTCTTCATGAGGAGGCTGACGCATGTGGCAACCCCAGCAGGCACAAGCACGGCCGCTCACCTTGCCAAGCTCTGTGCCGCTGGCTGAGGTTAGAATGGCGGGCTCTCTTGTGGAACTGCTCCTCTCACAAGCCCCAACCCCACTAACCAACAGTTGCCCTTGAGTAGGAGTCCGGGGTTGATTTGCTGCTCTGTCTGAGGGAACCCCAAGGGCCTTGTGGCTTTAACAGGAAGGAGTCCTCCTCATTTTAGCAGCAGTAGTCTCTTCCTCTCTTCCTGCCACGGTGATTAAATTAGCAGGCTGTTCTCTTTGGAGAACATGTGTCTATGGTCTCGGGAGGCACTGCCCACTTGCCTGTCTGATAGGTTTGGAGAAGGAAAGCAAGGGGTGCGTGTGTGCCCGCATCCCTCCCCATCCCTGCCCCTGGGAGGGCGGCTCCCATCTGGGATGACCACCTAGCCAGCAGCAGGGACCAAAGGAGGGGGCAGCCCTGGGGCTCAGCTGCAGGAAGCCTGGCAGGTGGCTGCATACACACTGCTGCCCACTGTGACCCCACTGCTTACACTGCTGGTGGGACACTTGAGGGGCTTCATGCTGCTGTCCCTCTGAACGTTCAAGTGCTCCAGCCTCCAGCGCTCCCAGCTCTTCCGAAACTCCAGCTGGACCTTCCGTGGGGGGGAAAAAGAGAGGGAAGCGAAAGCCATCAGGCAAACCAACTGCCCACAAAATGGCCCTGTTATTACATTAGCAGGGAAGGGAAAAAATCCGCTGGATTATATTAAGAGACACGAGTCAAGGTCTTCAGGCGCCTAAATTAATATCCCAATAAAATTGTTTATTGTTGTCTCCTATTTTCTGCTCTCCTCGGGAGAGAGATGGGCTTGATGACCTAATTGGCCCTTTCCATCTCTAAACTCGGTGATTCGGCTAAGTACCTTCTACAATCCATCACAGAATTATTTAACAGGAGAGAATGAGAGCGAGGGAGAGACACAGGGAGGGAGAGAGAATCGGAGGAGACGGGGTCTCTCTTCATAAAGTGCTCTCATGGTGTGGCTTGGACAAGTGAAAGGAGAAGGCATGTCTGCCGCTAACCCTGGTGACACCCTTGGAGTCTAAACTCTGGGTCTGAGTTTGTTGTTGTTTGTTTTCTAACAGCAGACAGCTCACTGGTTTCGAACTCTTCACCCTCCTAGCTAAGTCCCCTGAATTATAAGTGTGAACTATCAAGTCCAGATTCCTCTGAAGGTTTTCACTCAGCCCCTAAACCTCCTAGGGCGTGGAAGGGGTAAAGGAAGCAAGGAGGACTAGACAAGACCCAGGACTTCTTGCCCGGCTTTGAACCTATCCCATCTGGAGAAACTGAAGGGAGCTTGGCAGAGCAATCTGCTTGGGTGAGCTCAGCCGACCAAAATGCCTACTGTGCTGAGCTCAGGCCTTCCCAAGGGAAAGAGAATTCCCTGAAGGGTAGATGCTGGAGGATCAGATTGCTGGGGTGGAACAGTTACACAGAGCACTGAGGGGCTCTGAATCCCTCCAGGGCTTGTAGTGACACTGTGACTCCATCACAGCTCCGTGACTGGGGTTCCAGGGAGAGCTGCTGCAAGCCACAAGGCAGAGCTGGGCCACACTTCGGGGAGCTCTTTCATCCTCACCACCAGCCTTTCCATGTAGGAGTGTCTAGGGACTGTGTTCCCTTCAGACCCAAGCCATCAGGAGGGCCAGCGGCCAGCAGCTATGTACAAGAGGCTCCCTGCTGGTGCCCCTACCTGCCCCTAAGCAAACACCCGCCCCCTGCTCCCCATGCCATCCGTCTTGCTAAGCCCACATGCCATCCCTTAAAAGAACTTCTGTGCTGGGTAGGGCTAAGATCACCCAGAGTCTGGCTGCCAGGGCGTCTTGGTGTCCCAGACAGTGTCGCGGAGCCTAGGCTTAGTGGATGAGGGAAGGAGGTGGAGCAGACACTACTTACGGCTGCCTGGCCTGGCTGGGTTTGTGTGGTGCTGATATCCGGGGTGGAGACATTGAGCCTAAAGGGTCTCCCCTCTGCATAGTTGCAGGAAAGCAAATCTCTCAGTCTTCCACTTGGAAGAGAGGGGGAAATGGTAGACTGAGGCACACCAAACCAGCAGTACTTAGAGCACATGATGTCTCCGGATCCACACTTTTTGGGGGCCTCCATGGCGGCCTCAGCCATCACAGGTGTCCTTAAGAACCACACCATCTAGGGGCTGCAGGGCATGGCCCAGTCAGAAAATTGCCTGCTTCAGACAGCTGGGGTCCTGAGTTCATATCCCCAGAATCCACATAGAAAGCTGGGCAGGGGGAACTGGAGAGATGTTCCAGCAGCTAAAAGCACTGGCTACTCTTCCAGAGGACCGAGTTCAATTCCCAGCAACCGTATGCGGCTCACGGCCATCTGTAACTCCATTTCCAGGGGAATCCAATGCCTTCTTCTGGCCTCCATGGGCACACAGACCCACATGCAGGTAAAACATTCATACACGTAAAACAATAATGAAATTCAAAAACAAGTTGAGCAGACCTACAAACCCAGCACCGGATGTGCATGTGGTCGTGGGGGAGGCAGGATGGGAATAGGTGGATCCCTGGGGGCTTTCACCAATTAATGAACTCCAGATTCAGCAAAAGACACTGTCTCAAAAACAAGGTGGAGCGAGTCCAAGGAAGACAAGTGGCGCAGACATCCGGCACTGACCCCTATACCCACTCGCGCGTGCAAACACACACCAGAAAGGAAACGCCACTTCGGTTCCTTTCCCCGTTGACCCAGCACTCATCAAGGAAAGCGGAGGAAGCAGAGGAGAAGAACACTTAAATATTTTCCCAAGGGCTCTGTCAGGATTAGAACCCAGATCTTAGTCGGACTCCAGTGCCTTCATCTAGCCGCTGGCTTCCTGCCTGCTCCAGCTCTAAAAGCCCAGCTGGTCTCTGGCTGCATCTCCTCCCCACTTAGCAGAGAGCACTTGATGGTCATGACTCCATCTCCCTCCTCTACGCACCCATGCTCCTGAGCACGGGGCTCAGCCCACAGCAGGCACTCACTGCAGGCTGCTTCGGTGAGTCAAATGAATGACCAGTCAATGAATGGGCCTCGGGCGCGAGGTCCTCCCACTGATCAGTTATAGAAACAAACAAAGAATGACCCTGGGGCTGGTGAGGTGGCTCAGTGGGCACTTGCCACCAAGCCTGGTGACCTGAGTCGGATCACCGGAACCTATGTGGAAGAGGAGAGAGAGAGTCAACTTCCCCAAGTTGTTGTCTGACTTCCCCCTGAGCTCTGTGGCACATACACAGGGCCTGCACCCCTGTCGATGCATGATTCTAAAAGTAAATAAATAAGTGGCTGAGCGTGGCGCCTGCATCATCTAACGTTAACCCCTCCCTGCCCTCTGAGCACTGAAGCCCAGCATCTCAAGAACCCTCCCTGACTAAGTACCAAATCAAATCTTCCTTCCCTCCACCCACTCCTGGGTAGAAGAGGGGAAGACGGCAAGGTAGCTAGCCTGAGGTCACACAGCTTAGCAGTGCAGAACAGACAGAACACTCATGGCTCCTGAGCTCCTTCGTTTTGGCCCTCAGATACAAGCCACAGTAAATCCATCACCAGCTCTCCCCTAACCCCACCCCCCACCAACCAGCAGCTGGTGCAGGCCTTGACAGCCACATGAGACCAATGTTCAAGCCATCTTCTCAGGTCACAAGTACCTGGCATTGCCATGGCAACCCTGGATCTGGAGAACAGCTCTTGTGGGCAGAGGCCACAAGAGTGGCTAGGGTACATGTGTGTTGAATCACTCTGCAATAACTCAGGTGTGCCCAACCTGTAGCCTAAGGGCTGCATACATATTCAGACAGCAATAAATGTGACACGAATCATTTGTGGATGACAGCGAGTGACACACGGCAAGGTTAAAAGGTTGGACACCCCAAATCCTCCTTCTAACTGCGTTCTTATTCCTGAGAGATTAATTCTTCCAAGTGGCATGATGTTTTTGTTGTAATGATGATTCACAAATACATTTATAATTTTTAAAAGGTACTCAGAAATAAGTGATTTTAAGTTCTATTTTAAGTTCAGTAGTGGATTTCCCTTATGGAAACTAAAATATTTAGCTTATTGTAAAATCAAGTTATTAAAAGTAGCTTAATATATGTAGAATGTATGTATCATTTAAAGTGTCAAGTCACGTTTAATAAAATTAAGCATTTAAAAAAAAAGTTGGATACCCCTGCTTGAAATAGTCAATGTTAACCCTTTAACACAAGGTTAAGTCTTCCCTAAGATCTTATTTCATTAGGTGTGTGTGTGTGTGTGTGTGTGTGTGTGTGTGTGTGTGTGTGTTGGGGGCACAGAAGAGAATATAAAGGCAAGTCATCACCTCAATTTTCAGTCGTGGTGAGGGGACTGGAAGTTTCAATTAGAAACACTGAAGAGAACCCCCACTGCAGAGCCCCACACTAGTCAATGGCAGCGGCCCAGCAGGGTCCCTACCATTCCCTCTGCAGACCTTACCTCATTGTTGACAAAGCAGTACAAGATGGCCACCATCAGGCCCTGGAAACAAGAGGCATATTAGCAGGAAGGAAGTCAAGAGATACCTGGGTGACTAGTCCCTGGCAGCCCTCTGCGCAAATCAGGCCACCCAGGCTGGCTTGGGAATTGACAAGGGCTCTTTTTTTAATTCTCCAATATATTTATGTGTGTGTGTGTGTGTGTGTGTGTGTGAGAGAGAGAGAGAGAGAGAGAGAGAGAGAGAGAGAGAGAGAGAGAGAGAGAGAGAGAGAGAGAGAGAGAGTAAATGCACCATGTGTGTTTGGGAGTCCTTGGAAGTCAGAAGTGGATGTCTGGCCCTCTTGGAACTGGAGTAACAGGAAGTTGTATAATGCATGTGTGCTGGGAACCAAACCCAAGTCCTCTGCAAGAGCAGACAGTGCTCTTAACTTCTGAGCCATCTCTCCAGCCACAGTTTCTTACATTTTCACCCATGCTGTATTATCTAATGCTATTGAGAAGGACCAATTCCTTGCTTTGACCCTGTGTGACTAGTTCTTCTGAATTGAGATATTCCTTCCTGGAAGAAAGGAGAAGGCTCATAAGACTCAGGGAGCTCATGGAACTTACAAAACTCAGGAAGTTCAGAATGTTACAGACCACTCCATGGGGTTATATGAGAACCAGCAGTTTCCGAGGAAGAGGAGTGTGGTGGTTTGAAAGAAAATGTTTCCTAAAGGGAGTGACACTGTTAGGGGGTATAGCTTCATTGGGGCAGGTATGACTTTGTTGGAGGAAGGGTGCCACTGTAGAGGCGGGCTGTGAGGTCTCATAGATGCTCAAGCTACACCCAGTGATTCAGACCACTTTCTGTTGCCTATGACTCAAGATGTATAAACTCTCAGTTTCTTCTCTAGCACCATGTCTGCTTGCACACTGCCTACCTTCCTGCCACGATAACAGTGGACTAAACCTCTGAACTGTAAGCCACCACCACAATTAAACATTTTCCTTTATAAGAGTTGCCGTGGGGTCTCCTCACAGCAATAGAACACTGACTGAAACAAGGAGACTCCCCTCCCTGGAGCTGCTTACAAGTTGTGCAGGGAGCTCCAGGGATGCAACTTTCAAAAGTTATCATCCATGCTGGGGTGGGCTTTTCAATGATGCAGCTGCCTTTGAGTCACCCATAGTCCTGTATCCAACCCAATAAGTTCATTGGTTCACTAACTAGATGAGTGGAATGGTCTCCTTGGTCACCTGTCACTACTCTATCTGGAGTGAATACATATCTGTTTGTGTCTTCCTAGGAAAAGTGACACAACACCTTGTAAATCTCATCTTTAACATCTCTGGGCCTCCATTTCCAGCTTTGTCAAGTAGGGGCAATCTCGCAACTGCAGATCCTGGGAGAACTGACTGCATCGTATGTACAAGTTGCCTGACAGGATGCTAGTGACTGACAGTGCCTCTCTCTAGATGCCCAGATGCCCAGATCCACATTTGGGAAAGCTTCTTGTGCTATGGACTTACAGAGAAGACTGACTTCTACATCCGAATACCTGGGGATACTCACTCTGACTCTGCTCCCACTATGTGACTTGGGGCCGGGATTGTTCTGCCAGGCCTCATCCTATTCATCTTTCCCCATCTGCATGATGCAGGCCGATGCCCGCCCCTCCCCCACTTTGGGACATCCCAGGTAAGTGCCCCAGCGGTGAGTCACCTGGAAGGAAGTGAAGGAGAGCTCTGTGAACAGCTTGATGAAGCGCAGGGTCCCTCGGGCATGCTCATCCATCACGAAGGCAAAGATGACCTCATGTGTCCCCAGGAGGGGGATGAGCGTCAGAGTAGACTTGGCAAGTCTGGAGACAGGGTGAGACCACTTGTGTCATTCGGGCGCTTGTACACAGACTGCTCTTTTCCTTCTGTGCCTGCCCCCTTTCTTCTATCTCAGTCACGGACACTCTTCACTGAAAATACCCTGGACAGGCTGCCTTGGTGGTGTGGGGGGGGGCAGAGGTCAAGACTCCAGAAGCTTAGGGGCTATTAGAGAGAGAGTCTTAGGGGTTGCAGACCAGGTCTGGTTGGGAAAAGAGGGATACACAGGGCTACACAGATTCTGTCTCTGGTGGAGGGAGAGGCTGAGGGCAGGCCTGCGGCCATCTTGGTTACGGTACCTGCACTTGATGTCAGTCTTGCACATGAGATTAGCCTTCAGCTTGGATACCACAATGCAGATGACCCGGATGAAGATGAGAAAGTTGACCTGTAGAGCATGTGGGCAGGAGGCTAGGACTGTTCACCTTATTCTAGTCATTAGCCTGGTCGCAAGCTTAAGTCTACCAGCTTCCACTCCAATCCCCAACTCTGTCACTCACCCCAATAGCAAAGAGAATGGGCAGCCGGATGATGAGCCAGTAGTTCATGTTGGAGTTCCTGGTCCAGCAGCTAGGGGGAGAGAGAGAGGCTCACAAGGCATCCAACTGGACACCTAGAGGCCCCAGCGGGTGGCCAGCGCAGGACACAGGCACAAGTGCACGAGGCCAAGCAAAGCGCCACACCCAGCCAGGGATCCATGCAGAGTCCTGCAAGTGCATCGCATACCCCATCCCCAGGGTCCTCGGTCCAGGGTCACACAGGGAGACCCATGCCTCTCCCCCATTTTCATGGACCTCTGCAAACAGTCACGTGCACACCCAGCATCATACACCAAACAACAGGCCATTCACTCCAGTGTTCAGAAAAACCACCAGGAAGGCACCATGCACCGCAAAGGCCAGCAATGTCAATCATCATACCATCCCAGGGCAGGTTCAGGGAGCAGAGATTAGAGACTGAACCGGTATGCTAAACTCCCGCTGACCCCACCAAGTCACCCAAACAAGTAGTGAACTTGCGAATAAGGGTGAGACCCCAGCACAGCACTGTCCCATGGGGGAACACTCACCCCTCATCCTCATAGAGGTATTTGACAACGCCCCAGGGGATAACAAACAGCAGAGGGACACCTAGAGGAGGAGGGGAGGAAAGACAAAGAGAAGAGAAGTGCTGGCAGAGTAGAGCTACTGTCATGGTGCTCAGGTCCCCTTCACACCCTGGTCTTCTCACTCCCCCAGCCCCTCTACCTTCTAGCCCTAAAACAGTGCTTTCGGGAATGGAGGTGAAGGGCTTCACACTCAGGTTCCACATTCTTCCTTGCAGAGTTCTTCATGGTTCAGCCCTTCCTGTGTGCCAGGAGCCCTGCCAGAATTTGTCTCTAGAATCTTGGCTAGGAGACCCCAGGACAGACCCTCAAGTAGACCAGTAAATTGTGGTGGGGATGCAGAGAGACAAGGCCTTCACAATCAACAGCGTCAGCAGCGAGGCTTCCCAGTGAGCGCTTAGCTGAGCATCTGTGTGACACTGGTAGGTGGTGGGGTCTTCAGCAGGGAGGCCCTGTGGGCAGACATTCCTAGAGGAGGTTTGGGGACACCAGCCTATCCAATCTCTCACTTTTCCTTCCTCGCACGAGGTAGACTGCTTACTCATCCATATGTACCCCACCACTGCAATGTGGCACCCGCAGAAGAGGCCCAAAGCAACAGGCCTGTCAGTCTTTGACTTCAATTTACAGAATGGTGATCTTATAAATACCCCTTTTCTTTTAATGAGAACAATATCACAGGTATTTTATTATAGCAATGCAAAGCTGACTAATTTACAGTTTACAGATAGCCATTTAGGTGGTTCCCAGTGGCTACCATCTCTTGGTATTCATAAGGGTCTCAAGTAGCCCAAACTGACCTCAAACTTGCTATAAAGTCAAAGATGACCTTGAACTCCTGATCTTCCTCCATCCAGAAACTTTTGTGCTTTCTGTCTGTCTGCCTATCTATCTGTCTCTATCTCTCTCCCTCTCCCTTTCTCAATTTAGTTGGGGGAGTACAGGGAGGGAAGTTGTATGCCAAAAGTGTTCTCTGTCAGCCTACAGAGAACTCCCCACATCAAGGAAAGGAGGCCTCCTGCCTATAGCTCCATGAATGAGCTTGGGGATAGATTTCCTAGTCAGACCCAGGACAGCAGCAATTCTGACTAACAAATCTAGACGACACTCTGAGTCAGGCATGTGCAGCCATGGTGAACCCAAGTCTTTTGAGCACAGGGACTGCGAGATACTAGTTCGTGGCTTTAAGGAGCGAGTTCAGAGGTCACCATTAGACCACAATGGAAAAGCAATCCAGTTGGTTTCTAAGATCTACCCAGTAGACTTCCCGGAGCCCAGTCTGTGCTGGCGAACTGGCAGCTGGGCTGTTCACCCTGTCACGGCAGATGAGGAAATGGACAGGAGGAAGGACACATACAGGAGCAGATTCTGGGGTTGTAAGCCTGCACCCACACCAGCCACCCTCAGGGGCTTCCTGCATCAATATTCTCAATACTCGCCTCTAACCATGCCTTCCTCAGGTTGGTCACTCGGATGTCTGAAGTAGGTCACGGTGTGCACATTAAGGTGTGTGGACACAGGTTTTGTGCGTGTGGTGGAGAGTCCATGCATGCGCATTTGTGGCCTGGGGACATCTCTTCCATGGCAGAACCACTTCATAACCTTTCCAATCACCATCATCTGTGTCCTTAACTCACTGATGTCCACACAGTCACAGCTGCCGAGCAACTTGTGTGTCTGGATCACTGTACTGGCCCATGATTCAGAGAGGGGAGGGGAGGGAAGATGAGGGGAGGGCATCTAACAGTGCACAGCTGACTAGCATTCATCAGATATCCTCATTGGTCCATTTACTAGTTTTACTATACTATTGTTTAAAGTTGTTACATTCATTTTGTGTGTGTGTGTGTGTGTGTGTGTGTGTCCATCCCTATATATATTCAAGGCTGTGTGTGTGTAAAAGTGTACATACCCATGCATGTGCGGGTCAGAGGACAACCTCAGATGTCATTCCTAAGGATCTGTCTTACGTTGTTTTCTGAATCAGGGTCCCTCACAGGAACCTGTGGTTTGCCGGTTAGGTTAAACTGGTTGGCCAGTCCTGGGCATCCGCCTGTATCTGTCTCCCCAGTACTGGTATTACAGGCATGTATCACAACTTTTATATGTGGGTTCTGGGGAACCAAACTCCAGTCCTCACAATTATTCAGTAAGCATTTTTATCAAGTGAGCTATCTCTCCCCACCCTGTTTATTTTTACGCAGACCAGCCAGCCCAACATCCATGACCATTATAAACAGGTTTTCATTTGACTGAACAAATAATGGGATGACCTAGGAGGAGCCTGGGGCATAGAATAGATCCCTTCCCATAGACTATGCCCAGTAGGAATGGAATACATATATCAGCCAGAGAAGGGAAGCTCTCTAGACAAGACCATGCAATTTCTTGGGCCATACATGCACAGAAACCTCAAGTCCTAAGTAGCTACTCCAGCTACTCATGTCACCAGCCAGCCCTGATGAGCTTTATCCACTCATTGGCATCTGGTGAACAAGGCTCCTGTACAGAAACGGAAGCACAGCCCCGCCAACCGCCAAGGTGACGTACTCCTTGCAGGCTGCAGTTCTCTAAGACAAGCCAAGGAAGAAAGGTCAACCAGATGCACAGAACAGGTCCTGGAGCGTCATGCCTTCCCACCATCGCTGATCTCCCTTCTGGGGATGCCCAGCTGTTCATGGATGGCAGCATAAGCTGCTGTACCTCTTAGAGGTTTCCCACAGTCCCATCAGTCTTACTCTTAGTTCAGCTACACAGGAAGCTGGAAGTTGTCCACCTATCCCAACTTGGGCTAGGCTTCCTGGCATGGCCACAGAGCATGCGGGTTTCTGTGACTCATGTTTTCTCTCTGATCCTGCCTCTCCCCACCCCAGTTCCTCAAAAAAATGATGTTCTGGTCGGGGAAGATGCCCCTGATGGTCCTGAGCCCTGAGCCGGAATAGGCAAGAAAGACCTGACATCCTTCCCCGTATCCTACTTAGAGACCTACAGAGTACCATATGTCTCCTCCACTGACCCCTACCAATTCCCGGCTTTTCCAAACACATCCCTTTGATTGGTCCTGCCCTTGGGTTGCTATGGTGACAGATACAAACAGGGCTGATGCTGTTTCCCAGAATGGACAGACGTTATCCATCCCCCACACAGAGGAAGCCCTTCCTGAGTTCTCCTCAATGGCCTGTCCCTGCACCCACCCCTAGGGAGCATCAGGACTCTCCAGATGCTCCACCTGATGGGGTTGCCAGGCAGGATAAAAAGGCCTAGGAAGGAAAGAAAGATCTAGTAGGATGGGCTGGGTCTTGGAGGGAGAGGAAGAAAAGGAACTGTCTGGGATCTCTGTGTGCCGGAGCCAGGGCCACTTTTAACTGTATAGAGATCTAAGCCTGCTCAGCAGAACCAACAGGGGACTGAGGGGAAAAGCAGAAGCCAAGACCTGTGTTCGCCAAGTAGATGACAATGCCTGGAGTCAGGGACCCAGTGCCTGCTCTGTCTTTAAGGCCTTGTTGCTCTCCTGGTCTTAGGGACCTTAATACTTTGGTGACACTAAACCCCCATTAGAGCTCCTCATGCCTGAGGCAGCTGAGGAGCACCCGAAGGAATAAGCAGGGTGTGAGGAGAGTGCCGAGGGACTAAGAGGACCAGAGAGCAGGGTCCTAGGGGGCTGGAAACCTGAGACGGCCTCCCAGAAGGTGAGCTGGCAACCTTGCAGCGAGGAGAACGGGAGAGCACAGGCTGCTTTGACTGAGCTGAGGAGAGTCTGGAAGCCAAGGCTGGGAGGGATCAGAAGAGCTCTAGGGACTAAAGGTGTGGCAGGAGGAAGAAAACTCTGGAACTTCAAGGAGAGATCAGAGAGAGCTGACCATAGGTCTGTCCCCTCTTATGTCCCAGGCAGGGGTACTTGCAGGTCCCACTGGAGGAGGCATCCCCATCTGTCTCCCTGCCACTGTGGGGCTCCAACAGCACCCGCCCCCACTCTAACCCACCCCACTCCACCCCACCCACTCCAAACCAACTGCAGTCCTCCCTACTTTCCACACGACTCTCATGTGGCAAGAAGTAGAAACACAACCAGAAATGTTCCAGAAAAAAAAAAAAAGGCACAATGGTTCACGGTAGAGTTTTTTTTTTTTTTTCAGCTAGAACATTTCCATCCGGGCTCCAGGTACATCCACATCCACATCCACCCCTCCACCCCTGCACCCCTTTCCTCGGCTGCTCACCCCTCCCAACTTGCCTCTCCTTTGAGTCCTGCCCTTCACATCACAATAGCATCCTACGTCAGCCTGTACCCTGCTCACCTGCCTACCCCGGGCACACCATGAGGCCCAGGACGTAGCATCTCCCACAGGACCCCATGTTTGCCCTGCACTGGCTTTGATATGCTCTCCCCACAGAACCTCAGGGGAAGAGGTGTTTGAGGACGGTGTCCTGACTTCTAATGGTTTGGCGGCAGGGTTACAGGTCAAGTAGGGGAATATTTGGCCATAGGAGAATGGAAGCAATCTATTAAGAGAGGAGATTTATTTTTCAAGAAGGGTAAGACAGGGTCTCCCACCCCTTGCGGCAGGGTCCCCCGTGGAGGTGAATGGCAGGCCTTACCCCAGCCTATGCTCAGGTACAGCCTGAAGATGCGCTGCTCCGAGAACACCGAGAAGGCCAGCAGCGTGTACAGGTACACGCCCTCCACCAGCAGCCAGTAGTAGTTGGCCGCCACGCAGTACTGCATGAGCAGGAACACCAGTCGGCAGCTTAGAGAGTCCTGGGGACAAAGACGGGTCCCGTGGGGACAGCAGCCCTGCCTCCTGTCCCACCTGCCACTCCTCACTGTCCTGCAGTGCTTAACAGGGGATGAAGGAGTTGTCACATGGCCAGGGACACTACCGGAGACCCTCTGCTTTAGTTCACTGAACACCACCCCCATCCCGAGAAGAAAGCACCTGCTCTCGCCCCCATGCTGAGCCCCCCCCCCCCCCGGAGAGGTCATGCGATGTGTCTGAATGTATATACAAGCAGCACATGGTAAATCTGGATGCAGACTCAGGTCCGCATCCAGAGAACTCCCTGCGTCTTGACTGAACGTCCCATGGCAGAGTCTCTCTTACCTTGGACTCGCTTGCTCCAGGTGGACTGCCTCCTCCATCAGACTAGGGGCTCTCCCACCAGAGTAGGAGTTTCCCGTGGTAGACTGCCTCTCCCGTAACAGTAGAAAATCCCCCATTGTGGACTGCCCCTCCTACCATACAGGGACCTCCTGAGGCCAAATCTGGGATTCTTTTACCCACCCCAGGCTTATGCAGGGAACCTCTTCACCCCGGGCCACACCACACACCTGATAGGAGAGGAGCCCATCCCACTGGTGCTGTTGGGCCGCCGTGCTATACATCCACTTGAGGGCAGCATCCTTGATGAAGACGGAGAGCGCTCGAAGGATGAAGGATGCAAACAGGTTCAGGTGGATATAGTTCCGGGTACAGTGCAAGTGTCTGCGGGAGAAAGCAGGGCCCTTCCCTGGCAAGATGGCCAAGCCTGGCTCTCTGGCCAGCCCACACATACACGACGTGTCCTCCTCTGGGGCTGTGCTGATGTCTACCTTCCTTTAAGAAGGTCTTTCTTCCCCACAGCCTTGAAAATCACTAACGTGCTGCCCAAGAGGCCCTCAAACAGGCACTCAGCCTGTTTCCTATCCGTACCCCCTCCTTGTTGTGGTGCCCTCTCTCATACAGTTACATGTAACCAAAGCAATGCATGTGTCCGGATCAGTCTCCAAAACGGGGAGCTTTAGGACGGGACACTTCTGGACCGTTCTCTGGGGCAGAGTGTGTTGAGGCACATGGGTAGGAATTCAACAGGAATTGGGTACCATGTCAGTATACTCTCGGGTAAAAAAAAAATGTGTAGCAGGGCTGAAGAGATGGCTCAGTAGGTAAGAGTGCTTGATGTGCGAGGCATGAGGGCCTCAGTTCAGATTCCCGGCACCCATGTGTAAAACCAAGAGTGCACACCTGTAACCTCAGGGCTGGGGTGGGGGTGGGGCATAGGGACCAGAAGACGGCTGGGGTTTGCTGGCTGCCAGCCCAGCTCCAGGTTCAGTGAGAGGCCCTGTTCTGAAGTGAACACTCTAGGAGTGACAGACAAGGACACCCAATGTTTTTTCTGGCTTCCACATGCTTGATGTGGAAGCCATCCATGAGCAGAGCATGTGAGCACACACAGATCTGCACACACATGTGCACGCACACACACACACACACACACCACTGTGTGACAAACTGGAAGGCGGAGGACGCTTCATCTGCTATAAGGCTATCTATCTCCCAAGCAAAAGCCAACATCGTTCCTAACACAGGAACTTGGCAACGATTCCATTTAAAACCAGCAGCCAAGTGAGGATGTGTCAGGTGTTGTCGCCTCTAATAACCACTACCACGGGGCCATGGAGGAGGTGAACCAGACTAATTATGGCTTATAGACAAGTATTTTCACAGACACCCCAAAACAATGTATGGATGAGCTATAGCAACTACAGAGTCCCGAAAGACTGCTGACGGCCTCCTCAACACATCCTAGCAATACGCAATAAAAAGAAATTGAAGATCCATTCGTAAGATTCTATTTGATTTCCTGAAAATTTCTCCAACAAGAGGATGGGTAAGATCATTAGGGGCAACTTAATAAAATTGGCTTAAAATTATTAGAGAAGTCTTACATTAGTGGGAAACACATCATCACACCATACTTATGAACAGAAATGCCACTGTCGCTGTCCCATGTTAAATAATGAATTCAAAGCAGCTATAATAAAATGCCCATTTTTTTCATAGTGCTTAAAAGTTTACAAAGATAAAGGTCAAGAATGGTGTAGGAGGGCATAGAGAAGCACCAAGTGATCCTTTCCTATAATCCCAGCACATGTCAGGCTTAAAGCAGGGGGCTCAGAAGTTTGAGGCAAGTCAGGCTACAAAGCAAGGCCCAGTTTCAACAAGACAACCCCCACCTGGGCGTGATTTGCACACTTTAATCCCAGCACTTGGAAGGTGGAGGCAAGGGAATCAGGAGTTCAAAGCCAGCCTCCGCTACAAAACAAATTCAAAACTAGCCCAGATTACATGAGACCCGGTCTCAAAACAACCAATACACAAAAGAAATCACAACATAGGATTCTTTGCTGTAAGAGAACTAGGAGTTGTCTGTGTAAATGTATGATGCCTGCACATATGTGTGTATGAACATGTGTGTGTGGGTGTGAGTGCATGGGCAGGGGTCAGAGGACAACCTCAGGTGCTAACCCTCGTCTTTTACCTTGTTTGAGGCTGGCTGGCCCAGGAGCCTCCTAGAACACTCCTGTCTCTGGCTTCTGTGCCACCATAGGAGCGCCAGGTCACAAACACATGTCACCAACCGTATCTGCCCTTCCATGGGTTCTGGGGACGCAAACTAAGGTTCTCGTACTTGGGTATCAAGTGTTTGATTCACGGAGTCATCTCTGCAGCCTGAGATATATTTTTATTTCTTCTTTTAAAGGTTTATTGTTAATTTATCTTATGTATATATGGTATGTATATATGGTTTGTATGTATTATGTATGTCTGTATGTATATATGGTATGTATGTATATATGGTATGTATGTATGCATGTATGTGTGTTTGTGTATGTATATATGGTATGTATGTATATATGGTACGTATGTATTATGTATGTATGTATATATGGAATGTATGTATATATGGAATGTATGTATATATGGAATGTATGTATGCATGTATGTATGTATGTATGTGTGTGTGTATGTATATATGGTATGTATGTATGTGTTTGGGCCCATGCGTGCCAGGATGCTTGTGTGTTAGACAAAGGTCTGGGAAAGAATTTGGAGGAGCTGGTTCTTTCCTTGCGCTGTGTGGATTCCAGGGATCAAATTCAGGTCACCAGGCTTGGCCTTGACTGACTGAGCCAACTTATTGGCCTGAGATCTTAAACTTCTAATAAATCTTCAGGAGACAAGGCACTATGGTTTGGGAATAGAAAAGGATGTAAGCAATGGAAACCAGAACAAATCCAGGGACCCTTGTGATAGATTAAGACTGTTAGTAAAGGCACAGTTCAATATGGGGTGGGGGAGAACCCTCATTTTCACCTAGCACAGACTTAATCCCAGGTGGACTGAAGAGCCACAAGGGCAGAAAAAAAGACCCTACAATGTCTTGAAGGGAATGGAGCTGACCCTCAGATAAGAAAAGGTCCTTCAAGGGGAAGCAAAATGAAATCTATGGGGAAAAATTAATAAATGTCTACTAATTAATAAAAATAACTTGTCTTAATCAATAGTTCCTATGGATACATTTTACTTATCGATAAAAATTGATAGTTGGTCAATTTCATTTCATTTAAATGCAAAATCCTAGAATTTTCACCATAGAATGAAAATGAATGGCATAGATTAAGTATATCTGGGGTTAATATCCAGATAACAAATACCTAAAACAAGCCATGAAAGCCAAATAAACTAATAATAATAATAATAATAATAATAATAAAGACAATGAACAAGACTGAAATATGAAAAAAACCTCTCTAGGGATCAAAGATAAGCAAATTAAAATAATAACAAGTTCTTTTGCTTTCTTTATAGATTAGCTTCACTTAGTTATGAAAATACGAAATGTGGGTTGGATGTGAAGCGAAGAGAGCCTCCTCACCGGTGGCCAGAGCACAAACTGGCAGCAGCCACCTAGCAAGCAACCTAACACTAGCAGCAAAATACTGAAAACCAGGCAGTTGGTTACCGGTGGCAATTTTACCTCTGGGGATACCCCCTGAGGAAACACACAGGCAAGACCCACAGAAGAAACCCATGCTGTCAGGTTTGTAACTCAGAAGGAAAAATCAACAAAACACTTCAAATATCCACGAACCATGTGATGACAAAGGAATACAGGGGCGGCCCAGATGAATGAAATGGACTACCTGTATCAGAATGGATGCAGGGAGACAATGCTGAATCCCCACCCCCTTTGACCTGCAGCGGGACATGGTCACTGTGCTGTTAAATGTGGCCGGTGAACCACTCCGTGTGTTGTTACCGACACTTAGCAAAGGCGTGCAAGAAATGAGAAAGAGTGGAAATGAAGTCCTTACAGGCAAGGATGAGCTCTTCAGGGGCGGACATGGGGATCTGATGGGTGGGTGTTGCTTTGTTCTGTGCTCGGGCTAGCCAGACTGGCCTCGAGCTTGTGGCGGCCGTCCTGACTTGATCTAAGTGCTGGGATTATGGGTGCTTACCACCACACCTGACCTGGAGCACTTTGCTTTCATTTTCCCATGTTTTTCCCATGTAGGCATGTGCATGCTTTCCCGGGATCGCGTGCGCACATGGAAGGAGGTCTGAGGATGAAGCTGGGAATCTTTCACCATTGTTCTTCCAACTTTTTCAGCAGGGCAAGGGCTCTCAATCAAACCCGGAGCTCCCCAGCTATGGCTAGCCTGGCTGGCAAGCTTTCTTGGGCCAGCCTGTCTTTGCCAAAACGCAGGTGAGCCACCACGCACACCTAGCATTTATGTGGCTTTCTTAGGATCTGAACATTTATGTGGCTAGTGCTTTAACCGGGGAGCCTTCGTCCCAGCTCACAATTGCTTAGTGAGGAGCCATCTCTCCAGCCCCACATCTCCGATTCTTGGTGATCAATAACCTGAGATTTCAGCCCTCATAATTCTTCTGACCCTCAACTCAGTTCCCCTCACTTACTCCGGAGAGATTAAGAAAGCTGCTTCTCAGCCAGGTTAGGCCCAAGAAAGAGCTTTGCACTGGTGTCAATGAGCTCCAAGACAGAGATTGTCCTGAAATCATGCTGAATTATTGATTATTATCTATTTGATGGATGTGACTTCTTGGAATTTCCCATCATCTTACCATCCACTGCTATGATTCGTGTGTGTGTGTGTGTATGTGTGTGTGTGTGTGTGTGTGTAACTTTTTTGGAGTGCACATGCAGATTTTCACAGTAAAGAGTACACTTAATACACAGTTTTCAGTCTATTTTTTCAACCTCATATTTTCCAAGCAGGACCCCCGCCCCCTCTGATTGCTTTGGCTTGGAATTCCTCTACTAAGGAAATGAGCGCAAGACAGTTCCCTCCCTCCCAGTCTTGAGCTCTCCTTACCTGAAGCCAACAAGGATGGCTGAGGCGATGACCAGGGCAGAGAAGGAAAGTGCATACCCCACAGTGTAGATGATGTACAGCGACAGGAGCTGTTCCTCGGGGGAGCTCTGTATACACAGAGGGACACAAGGATGTGTGCGTGCCCTGGAGGCCGCCTTCATTCCAGGGTCCAGGGACTGAGGTGACCTGGGGCCCCACTTGGGCTTCCAGAATCAAGAAAGAGAGTGACCTATGGAAGTGGTCCAGGGATGTTTACAACCTGGCTCCAAGGTGAGCACACACCACCTTTGGCCAGACAGCAGATGTGCAGAGTCACCCGAAGCAGGGGGACAGATGTTGACAACAGCCGGCCCCACCCAAAGCCCAGAGTCTCTACTCTCAGGAAGCAGACACCAGCTGCCCGCCCCTTCCCGGGCTTGGAGCCCAACTGCCCGCCCCTTCCAGGCCCGCCATCTCACTCTCTCCCCTCGCTTGGACTCTTCACACTCCGACAGGTCCCTCCAGGGCAGGCTGGAGTTCTCCTTGTGCAGCCACAGGCCCTCAGCTGTGCAGAAGCGGTACACGTGGCCCTGAAGCACTAGAGGAGGGAGACATGGCAGCTGACACCCAGCCTAGAAACCAACAGCTCGCCCAATGCCGCCCTTGTCTTTCCCTCTCCTGGGGAACCCTGCTGTATCAGAGCCAACTCTTCTGAATTAGTAACGGGGGCTTCCCCTGTATTCACACACACATACGTGTACACACACGTACACACACACGTACATACATGTACACACACACATGCACACACACACATACCACACACACATTCATGCACATACCATACACACACACACACACACACACACACACACACCATGATGTTTCCAGGTACATGACAAGAGATTGCCACAGCGAGGTTGACCCAGCCACCCTCAGGTGTTCCTCTTGGCCACCCAGGGACACGGCTGAGAAAATCTATAGCTTTTAGACAAGACACACCTAGTTTGGATCTATGTCAAACCACACTACTGACTAGGTCTGATGCTGAGCAGAAGGGACCTTGTCAATCACAGTTACCCTCTATCTATGATTTCTGATATTCCTGACCCAGAGTCTCTCACACTCCTGCATTCTCTGGGTATAGACATCCCTAAGAGCAAAGCCGGTACAGAACTTCTGAGAACAGAACTAGAGCAACCTCTACCTCAGAGAGCCCCAGTCTGAGGAGACGTGGTTGGCCTGGGGAGCCCCAGTCTGAGGAGACGTGGTTGGCCTGGGAGCCCCAGTCTGTGGTCCACAGCAGGACATGATAGGGACTTCCCAGCACCCGATAGTCGAGTGGCTGTGAAGACCACAGGTGGCAGCCCACTCCCACTCTGTTGAGACTGCTGTGTCCCTGGTGATTTTCCTTTTTGCTGCTCTTCTGGAGCTGCATGTGGGCAGGGTCCAAGTTGTCTTCTCTCAGGGGAGCAGGTCTCAAGGAGTAGTTACTTGAAGGAGCAAGCCGTGTCTCCCAGTTTGGAGGGAAATTTTCCAAGAGCCACAGTTATGAAGGCGCCACGACACGTTGTGTTCCTTTGAGAGGCCTTTGAGAGGAGCGCAGGGGAGTGAGGAGGTGGGGTGACCACAGGGGAGTGAGGAGGACAAAATCGGGCTGACTGCACGTGACTTAACTCCTGTGAGACTAAACAACGTTAATCGGCAAGAAGGATCAGCTGAAAGACATGCCCGCTACCACGCCTGCTGCCCCTGAGTTCTGTCCCTGGGCCTCACATGACAGGAGGAAGGAACCAGCTCCAACAAGCTGCCCTCTGACCTCCCCTAAATGAGCAAATAAATGCAATGACATAGTTTAAAGACCAAAGGGCCCGAAGGACCGGCTATGGGTGGCAGGCCTGTACGGAAAGGAGAGGCGGGGGCGGGGCGGGGCGGGGGCGGGGGCGGGGGCGGGGGTTGGGATGTGCAGAAGTCACCAGGAGCCCTTGGTGGCCATAGCTGGTCAGTGCTGAGGCGGAAAGATTGTCAATAGGAAGAAGCTGACTAATTAATATATGCACACGGCAGAGGGGCAGCTGCACCTGTGGGAGGCACACCCAAGGGACGCCCAGCCCAGGGACAGCCTTTCAGTACAGAAACCCCATCTCCCAGAGTCTGAGACCGCTGTTATGTGCCAGAGAGACAGCCTTTTCCAGTGCAGTCACGCACCTGTCAGTCAGGCCTCATTCTCAGCACCAGCCGGGCCACTCAGCGCCCTGTGTGGCAGTCAGTGCGGACAGTCCTCACACCCTTCTCCTTCTTTCTCTCTTCGCTTCATGAACAGCCCCTGAAGCAGGCCCCTCTTCAGGAGAGAGACGTCATCCAAGTAAATCAGCTTTGTAGTACTATACTATTAGAGGAACCTCCAAAAGTGCACATGTGTGCACATGCAAATGTGTGCAGGGACGTGTGCATGTGTGTGTGTATGTGTGTATGTGCATGCATGTGTGCATGTGCATGTGTGCATGTGTGTGTACATGTACACGCCTGTGCATGGAGACCAGAAGCTGATGGTGGATGCGGGGTGTCTCCCCCACAGCCAGCTAGCTTTTTGGATGGGATCTTTCACTGAACCTGGACCTCGCTGATTCAGCTAGACTAGCTGACCAGCCAGCCCCTCCCCTGTGCAGGCACACCCACCACATCCAATTTTTTGCAAGACACTGGGAATCTAAACTCTGGTCCCAACTTTACCAACTAAACCGTCTCCTCGCCTGAAACCTGCATTTTCAGGGACATTAACAAAACCCTGAGAATATGATGGCCGCACGTCCAGTGGCGTGTGGTGGGCTGAGCCCTGGAATCTCTCTAAGGAGCTTACAAACAGTGGGGTGCACATAAAGGCAGGGGAGGACAGGTGCATGGTCCCATTTTGGCATCTTGAAGGGCCACCCTCAGGTCCCCAAATGCTTCTCTTATCTGCTGCATGGATGCTTATAATTCTTTAAGGGGAGTCCAGTCTTCTGGTAGAGAGCAAGACCTGTCTTTGGCTATAGATACACCTCAAGAGCGGTGATGGGGACCCGGGGAAACTTTGTGGGAATGACACTGGTATCAGAGCCTGCTCTGCGGTCTGAATGGTAGGAAGCGGGGAGTGGAGTGGGGAGAAGGAACCTTGGGAGGTAGGAGAATGGAGAAAACACAGCACTAGATTCTTCCCTCAGCTGGCGCAAACCCCAGCATACAGTAGGCACTGTACCCTACATGCACTGTGCACATAGTAGGCACTGAACCCTACAAACATGGTGTACATAGTAGGTAGTGTACCCTGCATGCAGTGTGTCCACAGGAGGCTCTGAACTCTATATTCACTCTGCACACAGGAGGCACTGTACCCTGCATGCACTGTGCACACAGTAGGTGCTGTATCCTATATGCACTGTGCACACAATACTGAATAATACATGTACGGTGCATACAGTAGGCACTGTACTATTGTAGGTTTCCTCCCTATATACACTGGATGTTGTCTCTGAAAGCTATTTACCAGAAAATCAAGTTTTGAATACCTACTGCATGCCCACACCTTACCAGGTTAACCATTTTACAGATGCAAACACTGAGCCTCTGAGAAGCCAAGAGGTCAGCTCAAGACCAGGCGGACAGGAAGAGGCACAGGCAGGATTCTAACTCCCAGCTCTCTGCCTCCTGGAGCCAAAAGTGAGCAGTCAGAGTTGTGCCAAGAGTCGATCATGGCCAAGTGCCATTTTCCTCCGTCGTTCCCCTGGGTTTGGATTTCCACACATGCCTTTGTGGCCCCCGGACAGCCTGCATAGCTCTGGGCTCTCTCTCCAAGGCCAGCTTGGGGGTGGGAAGGTAGTGCGGGCATGGATGTGTGCCTTCTTGGCTTAGAGTCAAGCGATCACTGTGTCCCAGAGAAGCGCCGTCTGCAAGTTCATCTGTCAGTTGGCTCTCATTAACACCAAATATTAAAAGCCACAGCTGGATAGTGGCTGAGCCCATGGTCCCCAAATGCCCTTCTTGGCTGGAGGTGGGTGGTCTGGGCAAGGCCCTGCTTATCAGCCCAGCTTTATCTGGCCTATGAGGAGCTGGCCAATCACAGCCACACGCTTGGCTTGGTCTAGTCAATACGAGGAGACAACCAGGCAGCCACATGCCAGGAGGCCCAGGCATATTTCATTAAGTCAGGCCCTGGTGCTGGAAATAAAACCCCCAATTAAACACTTGGCCTCCCGGAAGCTGCCACAGCGTCTGTAATCAAGCTAACAGCCACCCTTCCATGTGGACGGCGGGCACTCAAAGCTGTGGAGAGCCACTCACGGATCTATTAGCTTCTGCACCCTGGCAACAGAGGTGACCGGCAAGGGGTAGGGGGTGGGGGGGCATTTTGCAGATGGAGACACTGAGGTTCAGTGAGGTTGGTACCCCTCCCAGATGTGACAGGATGGTGCAGGGTCAAAGGCAGGGGCCAACTCTGGGTCGGGGGACAGAGAAGCTTGAAGCATCAGGGCTTAGGAGGGAGACCAGATTCAGAAGTCCAGACTCAAGTGCAAATCCTGGTTCCGATCTTAATCAGCTGCAGCACCTCGGGAGTATCACGCCACATCCCTGACTCTCAGCGTTCTCTTCTTAAAATGGGAACCCTTCCTAGGAGACCGTGTAGGAACTGCCTGGTGCATGGCAGGCTTTTGACACACAGTCACAGCAGGAGGCCTTGCCGCCTCCCCCTGCTCTGCAAGGCCAGAGCTCCTGTGAGGCCCACGGTCTCCCCTTGGTAACCCTGGCTTGCTCTGAGAGCTCACAGGCTGAGCGTTATTCTGGGGAGGTGAACTGTCAAGAGTCTCTAAGACTTGTGAGTGATAGGCTGTTTTAAAAGCATTTTATGGCCCTCATATAATTAGAACTAAGCTAACAAACAGGTAGGAACCTGGAGAGCGGTGGCTAATGAGGCTGGGCTGATGTGTAAGGCATTGGTGCCTCCCTGCTGGAGAGTGAATGGGGCTGCCAAGAAGGTCCCAGGACAGCCAACAGGCTGGAAGGCCTCAGAGACCTCCGCAGACTCACCCTTCTGTCCTGCGTGGACCACACTCTTCCTTCCATCGCTGTCCTCTTACTCCCCTCTACCCCTGCCCTTCCTACGCCCTCTGGAGTCCCGAGTGCACGTAGACAAGGGTCAGACTGCATAGCCTGGAATGGTTTTCTTGGGACACTGTGCACCTCTGCAGCCTGGGGTCTTAGCCCCGCCTCCAAGGTGCCCCCTGTGCATCCGCCCTCCTCCCTTCTGCCGACGCCTGCTCTCCCCGGCTAGTCTCAAAGCCACCCGTCCTGGATGTCTTAGATGTCTCTGACTTTCGCCACCTGCCTCTGCTTGGGCCCCATGCAGCTCCCCTGCACACGTCACACAAGTGTGCCCAGGCTCCTGACAAGGACTTAGCTCGGCTATAGCCATTGGCTTGAATTTAGTTCTTTCTGGGGCCACCCCCTCCTCCACCTTGCTCTGAACCCCAAAGGTTGACTCCCTTCAGCGTTGCACCACACAGGACATGCCCTCTGTTCCTCGCTTTGCTCAACAGAAGATACCGGCAGAAGACACCAGGATGAGAGAGAACTTGGGCATTGCTCTCTCACCCCCGCCCTGCTGGCATCTGGGGCTCTGGCCACAGCTTTGCCCCTCTGTGGGCACCCTGCTGGCATCTCTTTACCCTAACTCCTGCCATCATGGGAACCTCTGACCCCAGGAGTACTCCTTTCTTCTCGGGACTTTGGGGGGTGCTGAGCTCTGCCTACTACATCCCTCCATATTCTTTCTAGAGAACCCTCCCGCCCCGAGACAAGGCCAGCTGCTCCCTTGCAGCAGGCTAGGAATGCTCCAGAGGTGTCCCCCTCCTCATCCCCCACAGCCCTGGCCGGGGACAGGAAGCCCCTCTAGTATGGTGACTGCACTGTGTGGATCCAGTGGGTGTCTCTGTGGGTGCCCAGCCCAAGAGAGGGGAGGCAGAGCTGGTGATCAGCGTGTCCAAAAAAAGGAGGGGGAGTAAATTAGCCTGGTGAGAAAGGAGGGGAGGTGGCTGGCAGGGGCCTGTGCAGAGGCCGTTATCTTCATGGAGAAAGCAATAAAACCGTGTTCGCTCATAAACGGGCACCACCAGGACCTATTTCCTGCTCAAATAAAATTAAAGGTGATGGATGGAGCCGCAAGCGCAGGCAGAGCTGGGGGCGCTTAGTGCTGAGTGATAGGCTCTGTCCCGCGCCTGGCTCCCTGGGGTCTAGGGGCTCAGCCAGGATACCCAAGCAGGGGTCCCAAATCTTCCAGGCAGGGAACACGTGTGCCATGTAGGAAGTTGCCAAAGCACGGAGAGCGGATAGGAAAAATGAATGGAGACTTGGTTTTCCCCCACGGGTCTCCAATCCTCTCCCAGCCACATCACTTGGCTCCATCCCAGCTCCCAGGCAAACAAACTGCAGACAGAGAGGTCTAGGAACCGCTCCTGACCACACAGCCTCTGTCTCAACACGCAGAGCTATGGCTTGCATGGCTCGGAGGGAAAGGGCAGAATCTCATTGCCCTTACTAATGTGTATCCAGCCGATGGAGGTCATTCAGACCACTTACCTGCCTCCAGACCTGGGGCCCGCATGCACACACGCACGCACGCACACGCGTGCACGCACACACACACACACACTCACATGCAAGTATGCATGCACGCACGTGCAGCCATTGCCCAGCTCCCCTGGAAGCCCTGGCTCGACAATTAAACAATGAGATGCAGAGACTAACCCAACCTCCTGGACTGATGCCCAGGTCTGCCAAGCCAGGTCTTGGAAAAGTCATGTCATATCTCCATACTCCAGCTTTTTTCTCATCCATGGGAGGGAAATGGGGTAATTGTCTCTGAGAGTTATGGGCAGGATTGAATGAGTGCCTCGCCTGTCAACAGGCAACATGCGTTGAGGAATTCTAAGTGAAGGGCGGCTGACCGACTTGGTGCCGCCTTTGTTAGGTCCTGGTTTGTCTTGAGTAGCACAAGGAGAAGCAGGTGCAGCCTCTCTAGAAGGCCTGCCTAAGCCCCATCAGACCATACTTCATGCTGAAGTTCATGTCTGACCCGCCAGGCCACCTCCTACAAGAAGACCCTGGGGTGTCCCCCAGCCTGATGTCATTCCTATGCTTACTCACAGGCTGATAACAGCCAATGAAAGTTCTAGGCCCTCAGGATTGATTCCACCAGTTACCACCTCACTTGGAACAAGAGACTCAAATCTCTCGGGGCCCCTGTTTTCCTCATCTAGGCAAGCACATCCCCCAGGCAGCAGTTAGGATAGGATTGGACACAGATATTCAATCAAGGTTGGCCACCGTTACTTTATGGATATCTTCGCTAGGCTGGGCAAGTGATTCCATCTGTAAAGTGCTTGCCATGCAACAAGAGAACCTCGGATAAGTCCCACAGCATCTACCATAGCATCCGCGTAAGAAGTAGGGCGTGATAGCACGTGCCTGTGATGCCCAAGGTTCGCTAGCAGGGTGGACAGTTTGTGAGGACAGCTCACAGTTGACCTCCAGTCTCTACATGGACTCACACCTGTGCATAAACATGCACCTACACACATATGAACACAGACACGCATACATGCATGCACGCACGCACGTGCGCGCACACACACACATTCACACCAGGCGATGACATTCCCTGGGTATCTCCTTCCTGTCCTCCATGATCCACCCTCCCTCTGAGAGGTCAGAAGAGTCTCATTTCCCTCTTAATTTTTCACCCCACCACTGCCTGCAAAAGCATAAGACTTAGGACGCCCCAGGCAATCTGACACATGTCACTGCTAACTACCCAACCACCACCCTCCAGGGAGCCTGAGGATATTCTGGGCTGCAGGAACTGAGTCCTAGAGGAAGGAAGACCATGTCCTATCTTGCCCTAGAGCCCTGGAACAGGGAAGGGGACACTCACCACTGCTGGCCCAGGGCAGGTACCAGGGGCAGCTGACATTCACGAAGGAACCTGGGGGCCCGTCTGGCCAGCAGGCATAGTCATCAAAGGTCCGGTTGCAGAAGAGACCTGAAGAGGCAGCAGAGCAGTCCACGAGTCCCAGGCTATCATTAATTCTTCCTTCCTATGTCCTGCCCAACCAGTGGAAGCTGCACTCCCCCAACCTCTACAGAGTGATCACTGGACACTGAGCACTTTCCCACAGGGATCACTGCACAGTGAACATTCTTCCCCAGGGATCACTACACACTGAACACTCTTCCCCCCAGGGATCACTGGAAGTGAGCACTCTCCCATGGGGCACTCTCACAGGGATCACTACTTACTGAACACTCTCCCCCCAGGGATCACTGGAAGTGAGCACTCTCCCATGGGGATCACTACACACTGAGCACTCTCCCACAGAGATCACTGGACACTGAGCACTCTCCCACAGAGATCACTGGACACTGAGCACTCTCCCACAGAGATCACTGGACACTGAGCACTCTCCCACAGAGATCACTGGACACTGAGCACTCTCCCACAGAGATCACTGGACACTGAGCACTCTCCCACAGAGATCACTGGACACTGAGCACTCTCCCACAGAGATCACTGGACACTGAGCACTCTCCCACAGAGATCACTGGACACTGAGCACTCTCCCACAGAGATCACTGGACACTGAGCACTCTCCCCACAGAGCAGGGACCAAGGAAGGACCCTGTTACTCATCAGGGTCAGAACTTTAAGTGAGTTCTTTAACAGCTCTTTGCCCTCCTCTGTGGAATGCAGGCATCCCCTGTTCCACGGAGCTTTCTCACAACGTGTTGTATAGAAGAAGGAATACAGTACAGCCTCAACAGACATCGCCTATAAGCCATTTTTGAGCTGTTCTTCACAGATGGGAAGGAAATGCTGGCTCGTGAGGCTGAGAAAACCTTCCCCAAATCACTGTAATGATCAGAGACAGAATTTGAACCCAAGCCTAGCTGGCTCCAATGCTGTGGTCTTTAAACAACCCTATAAACTCCCTAAAAGGTTTACTCCTGTTGGCTCAGTTGGTAGAATGCTTGTCTAGCATGCATAAGGCCCTGGGTTTGGCCCTCAACACTGCATAAGCCAAGTGTGGTGGTATAAGCATGGAATGCCAATGCTTGGGAGGCAGAGGCAAGGGGATCAGAGGTTCAGAATCATTCAGGGCTACACGGTGAGTTAAGCTAACCTGAGCTATATGAGATCTTGTCTCAAATCATAAAGACTGATTTGTGTAAATGTGTTCATTGGGCCTTCAATCTATGCACAGTTAAGGAGGGGCTGATTTTGAACACAGAACGGGAAGCAGGGTACCTGCTCTAGAGGTAAAGAGAGTAAGAGAATAGAACCCACAAAGCTGCCTGCTGGGAAACTGGAGGGAAGGAGGCAGGAGGGCGCCGCATTAAAGACACAGTGTGGTCACCAGGACAGAGGACCAGGCAGACAGCATTCCAGGGAGACAAGGGGCACCAACCATGGCCCCGATCTCAAAGCCTCCCCAGAGCTCTGTGGAGTACAGGCCTGAGGGCTCGTGGGACTTACCTGTGGCCAGAGGTGGTGCTTCAGTGAGGAAACGTTGGCACTGGCGTCGATACTCTCGCCATTTCTGCACTGTCTCCGAGAGGGACACAGTGGCGCCCTAAGAGGGAAAGCAGAAATGGAGGCCCCCGCCCCCCCCCCCGGCTCCAGCAGCCCCTTCCATCCCCATTGCGTCCTCCCATCCTCTTGGTTTCTTAATCTCCAGGAGACCAAAGCTCACCAGGAGCTTCCGAAAGGGGGAAGAGCAAGTGGCCACTTTGGGGATCCAGGACCTTTTTTGTGGTTATCACGTGCAAGGCTGATGTATAGTAAGTACCCAGCAAGTGTCTAAAGGGTTGGTGCTTAAGGAGTTGGGGTGAAGGAGGGTGCAGAGAGAGACTACATGGTCCCATTTGCCCTTCATCTACCCTGAGCAAGGAGACTTCCTGAAGGAGAAGGCTGCATCACAGCCTGGGGCTCCTCCCCTCCTGCTGCCTGGTCATGTAGGAGTTGCCTTGCTTCTGACCATTCTAGGAGAGTCAGGAGAAGACTCCATCAAAGGCACACAGCATGTCGGGAAGCAGAGCTAAGGCTGGCACACAGTCACCTAGCTCGGTGGCTAATCTGCAGTACCCCCGGGATGCAGGATACCCAAGGATGCAGGGTACCCCAGGGGTGCAGGATACCCAAGGATGCAGCGCCCTGAGGATACAGGACACCCCGAGGGCTTATAAGAGCCAGAATTATCACCCACTCCTCCTGCCAGACTCAACTGCTGCCCTAGGAGGACCACAGACCCTTCCAGCCCAGTGTCTCTTCTAATACAGTGCGGATCTGATATGCAGCCTGGTTTCTAAGCCTCAGGAGGATAAGAGATGCGGAGGGCAGGGTGAAGACAGATAGGCCCAGAACACTGAAGTTGTGCCTGCACTGGGAGGTGACCTCTACCTGTGAGAGAGGGATAGGAGCCTCCAGGAGTTTACCAGCGCTGGTTTTTGAGCATGCAGCACTAACAGACCCATTCCACTGAGCCCATCCCCTCTGCCTATTTCGGAGTGTCCCCTTTAGCCAGCCTTGAGCTGTAGTGCTTTTCAATTTTTCTCACAAACATCCTTACAGATTATAAATATTACCCATTTAGAAGTAATAGATGTCAAAATGAACAAAAAGCCCTTTACATTAAAGTTGGGATTTATACATAATTACATTTGCATACGACTGTATGCACGCAGATGGGTGCTCACACAAGAGACGGAGCACGCGTTGCCACAGTGTGCATCGTATATGCGGAGGTCGGAGAGCAGCCTAAGGGAGTTGGTTCTCTCCTTCCAACCTCGTGGGACCACGAGAGTTGGACCCATATCATCAGAGTTGCCAACAAACACCCAGTGAGCTGCCCCTCCAGCCCAGAAGTCCACTTTTTGAAACCACAAGGTACACACAGGTGATGAAACTGGTGGGTTTCAGATGCCTGGGCCCCTGAGTCCAGTCCCCCCCCACCATACACACACACACACACACACACACACACACACACACACACACACACACACACACACACACATCAGATCAGACTTCTGGGTGAGCCTGCCCTGGTTTGAGCTGAGTCCTAGTTCATATGACATCACCACAGAACAACACACAGTGACATGCGCTTGTTCCTAGTGACATGGGCTTGTTCCTAGTGACATGGAAAGTTCCAGAAATGGGGCAGAGGGGGGGAGAAAGGGAGGAAGTCAAGCTTCTTCTGAATGTCACCAACATCTCTAGAGTAGATGTGATGGCGAGGCTGCCCTGGAGGACAAGATCTCTCTAGGAGCAAAGGTCAGCCGTATTTGCTTGGAAAAGAAAAAGAAGTTAAAAAAAAAAAAACAAAAAAGGAAATCAAGTATCCAACAGCAAAGGTGGTGCTGTCACTGGAGCCACTACCGACGGGCCGCAGATTCTTCTGACTAAATCACAGTGGGTTAGCGCCACCTCTCATTTCCTTTCCTGTCTCCCTCCTCTGTTCTCCTCGCCCTGCAGGCGATGGTGCTGGGGGAAGACAGGCAGCCACAGGGGGAGGAATCAGCAACTTCTGCCCTTAGCAGAAGCGGCAGAAAGCCAGTCCATTGCTGGGAACTGGGGCAGTAGGTATGTCAGGGAGTATGGAGGAGGCCCAAGAAACCAGCATCTCCCAACGGAGAGGAGGGATCAGAGGCTGGAGACAGGACCTTGATGGCCGGCCACCAAGAGAGTTCCAAAGGGGGTTTGGCTTGGACATGAAACTTAACTTTAGGCTGGGGTTCTGTTAGGACGGGGCCTTGTCTCTCCACTCCCAAGTCACAGAGTGTCAACCTTAGATGTCGGTGAGTAGAGGAGACAGTGGGAAGACCATCCTGAGAGTCTCCAGGCTTGTTTGAGGCTGGGGACAAATGTTTTGCAGGACAAATGAAATAAGAAGGTGATGGTGTAAGACGTCGGGAGGGGTCAGGGCAGGTCTCAGTGTTGACCTGAGGGGTCATCTAGGGACTGAGAGGTACAGGAAGGGGAAATAGTGACTGGTCTAGCAAGGGAGATGGGCATTTCGACACAAAGATGTGGAGGTGAGCGGGCTCGGGAGCTGGCCCAGTCTATAAATTGTGTCCTGCAAACCCATGAAAGTTTAAACTCCACCAGAGGACCCAGGTAAAAAGTTGGGTACAGCAACACATACTTTTAATCCTAGAGCTGGGAAGGTGGGGTCGGGAGGGTCCCTGAGGGCCACTGCTTAGCGTGACATTCAAGCCCCAGACAGAAGCCACCATCCCAGAAGCAAAACAAAATAAACCAATATGGCTCTTGAGGAACACCACTCAGGTGTGACCTCTGTCCTCCACACACATGCACATATGCATGAATGCATGCATGGCCATATTAATGTACCTCCCCACATGAACACACATACAGGTACACACGCACATCCACAGAGATGTCCAGGGAAATTCCTAGGCAGAGACAATAGTAGGAGATATAGGATCTGGGATAAGCCTCGTTGAAGCCGGGGACACTGGATGCCACAGGCCCTGAAGTCCAGGTGACAAGGCAGACAGTGAGTGGCCCTAGTTTGGGGTCAGATCTGCACTCGCTCCTGCAGCTCTCCCATAAATTAGGTCTGTGACCTTGTGCACATTTTAGCTTCTAGCCTCAGCTTGCTTTTGTACAAGGGGCGACAGGACTTAACTAAGCTGCTGCTTACAATGGCCCCTGGCATACCGGAGAGGCTGGTCCTGAAGATTCCACAGTTTAGAAGAAGACAGGTTGAAACCCCAAGCCTGGCTTCCTGAATCTGGGGATCTTCCTTCTAAATTCAGTAAGCTCCCAGAAGGGAGAAATTAACATGGCTGTCCCAGGGCAGCAATGTTGGTTAGGACCACAGGCTGGGAGTCCCAGGGACCAGGACAGGTCAGTATTTCCTAGGACCAGCACTTCTGCAGTGCTTGAAAAAATAAAGGAGGACCAAGGAGGGTCCATCCCTGGAAGTAGCAAGAGATACAGAATGGAACACCAAGGAGCTCAGAGCCTGCAGATGGTGCTCATCTTCTGCTCCATCCACAGCCTGCATCCGGCACAGGGCATCACCACAAGCTCATGTGAGCCTGTGCACCAGGGCTTCCTCTTTTCTGGGAACCATTTGGGTTGAGGGGTAGGAGAAAAGAGTGTTCGGTCTCACCTGACCACTGAGGAGGGAGGAGGAGGAAGGCAGGAGGGAGGCAGGCCCCTCGGAAGGAGCAAAGAGGGCTCCAAAGACAACTTCTAGAACCCTCCCCCTCCCCCAGGTTCAACCCTGCAGATTCTCTGCCATTTCCTCCTGGGATGACGTCAGGCTTTTCCTCTGGTCCCCTCTCGGAGCCTGGATCATGCGTCCGTTGCTGAGCACTTTATTTTCGTGGCCATGTTTTGCTTTCTTAGGGTCCTTCCTGAGGTAGCCGACCAGATAGACGGGCAGGCCAAGGCAAGCTGCAGGCACCTTCTCACAGACACGCTGTCACACGCCAATACCCCTCACACCTCAGGGATGTTCCCAGCTCTGAGGCCCTGACATTGAGTCTCCTGTCCCCATACCCTCAGGCTGTTACACACAATCCCATACCTTCCCCAAAGCACAGTGTAATGGGCAGGATACCAACTCTCTCTCTCTCTCTCTCTCTCTCTCTCTCTCTCTCTCTCTCTCTCTGTTGGACATGTGATTATATGCTGATATGTTGCTGTGTATATGGTAACTCTCATCCAGAATGGCACACAAAAAGTCCTGAACAAACACGCTGAGAAACAGGGGCTCTTAAACAACTTGTATACCTATCTCCCAATCTATCTCTACCTCATACGTATCTCTATGTAACGCGCACAGGTGCGTGCATGCACACGCACACACACACACACACATACACACACACACACAAATTTGCCCAAGGACAGGTGCAGTAAATGAAGGACCTGCTTTTCCTCAGTATCAGGCACTGGAGGACAGGATGTGGTTTCTGGCTGCTCCTGGTCGGTCCTATGCTGGGTCCCTGTCTGGAAAGAAGCCCAGCCAGGGACAAAGTCCACCCAGACCAAGCCATAGCCTCAGCCTCCACTGCCCTTTGCTGGAGTGCAGAGGCCAGGGGCTTCCCACAATACTACTCCAGGCTCTCTTCTGCAGCCTGGGGACACACCAGGCTCCAAAGGACAGTTCTCCAGGACATCTCAAGCTGCCATTTCAGTACCAACCAATGCTTTACTCCCCTCGGTGTCCCTGCATCCCTCCAGGACAGATCCTGAGAACCCTGTTTTACTGATAGAAGCCTGGGGTTTGGGGTCATCACGAGTCCTGCTGAACAGCTAAGGTAAGAGCGGAAGTTCCGGTTCCATCTGGTTGGAACGTCAAGTGCCAAAGGTCTGCCTGCCTCCTCAGTAGCCCGGCTCCCCTGTGGAAGGGGTCAGGAAAGAGGAGTGGTCCTTCCCAGAAGCCATGATGGAGCAGCCCAGGTCACGTTCTGCAGAAGTCAATTCAGCCACCCTCATCTTGCAAGGAAGCAACTTCTGGCCTCGCTGGGCCTGCTCCTTCAGCCTTCAGGCCCCCCCCCCGAAGGAAGGTACAAGCCAAGACCTGGGGCCCACTGCTTTCCTATTCCTAAGCTGCTGGACCACATCGCCTAGGGAACCCTGTTCTCTAAGCACTCACCTCACCATGAGTGACATGAAGGGAGACATTCTAATCTCGCTGACCTCAAAGACAGAAAGTAAACCACAAAATTTAGTTTCGAGTCTCCTGTGTGCTCATGAGGTCCTGCAGTAATTATTGCAACCTAACCTCAGAGCTGCCTGTCACATGGATCTCTGCGGTAGCCGGTGATGTCAGTACCCCCATAACAAGGGCACCCCATCAAAAGCTCCCGCGAGTCTCTTTGCTGCCACCCAGGTGCTGTTAGGAACCAGGGCTGGAGAGTGAGATGGTGTGAGGAGGTTCACGGAGCCTAACACTTCTGGGCACGGGGGTCTGGGGGAGGAGACAGGCAGGCCCCAAGCTCGGCTTTCTAATCCTTCATCCCCAACCTGATCTCCAAACTTGGCCTGCAGAGGCCTTGGAGCGGGAGGCTCACACCCCCACTTTCCCGGCTCCCAAGAGGGAACTCAGCAGTGGATCTGCAATCGTGGATCTGGAAAGTTCCCAATGTCACCACCAGGAAAGCCATGGCCTGCAGGGGAACAGTGAGGAAGGTGCCAGGGACTGGGGAAGGTGTCAGCTGACCCCGGAGAACGGGGGTGGGGGGGTGGGGGAGAGAAGATTCATCTGGAAAAGGATTTGGGGTCTGAAACAGTGCTGGCACCTTCCTTGGGAGGCACCTCTGTCCACAACTGGATTCACAGCTTGGGGTAGAAGTCTGCCCCTGTCCAAGTTCAACCCTATGCAGGTCCACTCACCAAAGGCTTCAATCCTTCAAGTTTAGCTGCGGACACAGGAGACAACTGACGAGCAAAGTATTCACTATACAGGACCCAGTCCAGGCCTGGACCTCTCCTGCTCAGGGGTGTCCTGGCACTTTTGAACAACCGCCCTCCCCACAAGCAGCTGACCATCATGCTCAGGGCAGGGCAGCATTTGGGGCAGGACATACAGGCAGGACAGAGAGAGTCAGAGAAGAGTCCTCAAGAGTCCAACTGCAACCTATTCTTTGGGACACCAAGGAGGTAGGGTATTCCCATGTGTCCCTATGCTTTCTGGTGGGTCATTAATCAAAGCCCCCTGGAATGGGTACTAGCTGAATGTGTGTGAGGGCCTGGTTGGTTCAGGAACAGGGAACCTGCTGCATGTTTGCTGCAGAGGCTGGGGTGGGGATGGCAATCCAGTGCCACCTGGGAGGTCATCAGGAAGGACAGCTGCCACTGGCAGGGTCCCTGGGGCTATGAGTCAAAGACTGTAAGGAGGGGGCCAATAATGGGGGAAGGAGTTAAGTTTCCACAACCAGGCTCTTTCAGCCCGCTAGAGATTCCTGGGTACCCCCCCACACACACACAAGAGAACCTGAGTGTTGGGGTGGCACCACAGGGGTCCTGGGTACAATGGGAAGGTGGAGGGGCGGTGGGTTTTGGAAAAGGGAGTTGGAAAAGTGGTGGAGAAGGACAAAGATGTGTCGCAGAAGTCAGAGCAAGGCAACCGCGGGGCAGCTGGTGCCCTGACAGAGGAGCTGTGGCCGAGACGTGGGGCGTCTCATCAGGATGAGGATGGTTACCTGGTGTCCATTCCCAATTGGGCCTCCCAACTCCTCAGCCCCTTTCTCCCCTGAACCTTGCACTTCCCCTGTCCGGGATCCTGGAGTTTCGCTCAAGTCCAAGGGACCCTCCCTCAAACCCCGGCAGCATCCCCCTCCCGCTAGTCGCCGGGGTCCTGGGGGCTCACCTGGGGGCGGGGGCCGGCCCTGCCCACCGCCCCGAGCAGCAGGAGCGCCAGGCGCAGCAGGCTGGGGGCGCCGGCCATGGCAGGGTGTTCAGGACTGGACCATAGCTGCCACCTGCGGAACCGCGCACCGCGTCTGATCCCTGCCGGGCTGCGGGGGAGGAGTCCGATGTGGGGCCGCCCCGCCTGCCCGCGGGAGGGACCGGGCGGGGTCCCTGCTGTCTTCCGCTTGGGTCTCTGGAGGCCTGGGGCCAGACGGGCCTCCAATGTCCCGGGCCAGGAGGTGCCTGACGCTGCGCTCCCTGCAGGCACCACTCAGGTTTAGGAACCGCAGGAGCGGAGCCACCAGCTCTGAGCGCCCATGGTGCGTGCGCCTGGCCAGCTCGCTGCGACCAGTGGGGCCCGCCTCCCACCCCCGCACCCCATCTCCTTCAGGCTCCCCCTCAACTAAGGAAAGCCACGCCCCCACCAAGTCTGTGCTTCCGAAAGGAAACTGAGTCCAGGGAAGGTGTAGGATGGGAACAAGGTCACAGTGTTTAGCAGACTTCTCCTGGAAAGTGTATCCCACGGGCTGCTAGTGTCTACGGAGGAAAGCTCCACCTAGCAGGACTACCTACATCCCCAGTCCCCTCCTTATCCCAAACCCAACCTTCTGGTCAGCCCTGGAAGTCAAGGTTGTGGGGGATTGCAGGAGATCCAAGGAGGGTCTTCAAGTTCCCTTCTATCTGGAAACGTTAGAAACTGCAGGGTGGAAGAGGGTTGTCTCTGTCTTTCTAGAACTCTCCGAATGTTCCCTGCCCAGCCTCTGCAACCTCTGGACCCGCTGCTTGCTATACCCACTGTGTAGGTGTGATTGTGTGCATCCTGACTGGCACTCCGTGTGTTCTCTGTCTTTCCCCACCTTTGCCCTGGCATACAGTACAGGCTGGGGAGTTCAACCCATTGCCTGTTCTTCCAGTCAGTAAGTGGGGCAGTAACTGACCCTCTTGAGGAAACAAGAACTAGTATAAGGAAGGTTGGATGTGGCTCTACCCAGCCCTGGACCTGCCTGGGGCTAGTCTGGACGGTTCTAGAAGGGAAGGGAGACTGTGATCATAGTTGTACCTCTTGGAGAACACAGAACTTCTCAAAGTCCTGAAAGACATGGGACCCCACATCCATCACTCTACACCATGGAGGAAGACAGCCAAAAAGGAGGAGCAAGAAGGCTCCATTCAGAGGACAGAGAGAGAGAGAGACAGAGACAGAGACAGAGACACACAGAGACAGAGAGAGAGAGAGACAGAGAGAGAGAGAGAGAGAGAGAGGGAGAGAGAGAGAGAGAAAGAGAGAGATGCTCCCTTCTGTCAAGTTCTGCCCCTGACTCCTGTGTGCACATAGGTTTAGGCTCTTCAGCTGTCAACTAAGAAAATCCTACTCAGGAAAATGATGTAACTGGGGCTTTTATGGAAAGCAAGGCTGGAGGTTCAGCTCAGGTTGGAATGTGTAGCCATCCCCTGACCATCAGGGTCTCCAGATCTTAGGTTCTCTGGTTCCAGGAATCTGTCTAAACAACACTAAGTGGCTTGCTCTAGACCCAGTCATGACATCAAAAGTCTAGTCCATAGCAAAGAACCAGTTGAGCACCCACAGGGACGCATCCTGAACATACCAACCATCAATTCTCTACCTGCTGATCAGAATTTATTCCCATAGTCACCCCCTAGTTCCAAGAGAGGCTGGAAATTGTACCTTTTATTTTAAGTTGTCATGGGCACAGTTTGTAATGAGTCTTTTTCTGTCCGGCCAGCTAGATCCCAAATAATGACACGGAGAAGGATTATTAACTATGAGAGCTTGGCCTTCGCTTAGGCTGGTTTTTAGCTAGCTCTTGTAACTTAAATTAGGCATTTCTGTTCACCTGCATTCTGCCACATACCGCCCACACTTCTTTTCCCGAATCTCCTGGCATCTCTCACATGCCTAGATTCATCTCCTACTTCCTCTCTCTCTGCCAAGAAGTCCTGCCCCTACCTCCTGCCTTGCCATTGGCCTTTCAGCTTTTATTACACCAATCACCGCGTCTTAGGAAGGGTTTCCTATTGCTGTGAAGTGACAGCTCTTATAAAGGAAGCATTTAATTGTGGTGTCTCACTTACAGTTCAGAGACTCAGTCCATCATGGCGGGGAGCATGGGTGCGTGCAGGCAGACTGGTGCTGGATCTGAGAGTGCTTACATCTTGATGCAGAGGCAACAGGAAGTCTACTGACACACTCGGCAGTATCCTGAATATAGGAAACCTCAAAGCCCACCCCCACAGTGACACACTTCCTCCAACAAGGCCACACCTACTCCAACAAAGCCACACCTCCTAACAATGTCGCTTCTTAGGAGACTTATGGGGGCCAATTACATCCAAATCACCACACACAGCAAATACAACTTCACAGTATACAAATATCACACAATAATCAAATAGTGTACCTTTTATTATTTTGCCTGCTTTCCATTGCTAATAACACCATACCACAGACTGTCCTGGCTGTCCTGGAACTCTCTATATAGGTCAGACTGGGTTCAAACTCATAGAGATCTACCTGCCTATGCTTTCAAAGTGCTGGGATTAAAGACATGTCCTACCACTGCCCAGCAAGGCTGAGCACACGTTGGAGAAGTATTATTTGGGATTCTGATTCTAGGGTTAATAACTACAGTTGATGGCATCCTTCACAGATGTGATGAAGAGTATCCCATACTGACAGATAGGGAGTTTTCAATATACCTCACCACACTGGCTTTAAGAGTGTGAAGGCTAATCTTGGCTGTCAACCTGAATAGAATCAATGTGCCCATGAAGGGCTTTCTTTGTCAGATTATTTGAAGTGGAAAACTCCACCCTAAATGTTGGTGGCACTTTCTGGTGGCAGCCTAGATAAAAGGTCATGGGAGAAGGAAGTCTTGGCTTTTAGCCTACTTGTCTTTACTCTTGCTGGCAAGTTCATCTACCTTACTGTTGCTACTGATACAGTCCTCTGCTGGTAACAGAATAAGCTTTCTTAGGCTTTCAATACAGAGTGAAGACCAAAGGCTCTCCAAGAATCCTCCAGGCCTGTAGGGTAAGTCTGGGATTGCTGAGATACCCAGCCTCATGGACTGTGCAAACTACCAGATCCTCTGTCTCTCCAGTGTGAGTCAGTCATCATCAGGTTGCCTGGACAACGTATGTAAACTAATAAATCCCTCTCACCACCACACTATTTAAATTTTTATTTTATGTGGATGCATGTGTGTATGGGCACCATGCATGTACAGTGACCCGTGGAGGCTAGAAGAGGCCATTAGATCACTTGGAGCTCAAGCTACAGACAGATGTGGGTGCAGGAAACTGCACCTGGGTCCTCTGCAAGAGCAGTCAGTGCTCTTAACCACTGAGCCATCTCTCCAGTCTCTGTGTAACCTTTAAATATGCATTCATTCTCTAAGTTCTCTTCCTCTAAAGAACATGAACACAGAGCAAACCCACTTCTGAAACAACCCACTAAGCCATCATCCCTAACTGTCCGTCAGTTATTTCCTTCATTGTTGTACCCAAATTGTTGACAAGAAGCAACTTAAGAAAGGAAGGGTTTATTTGGCTTATGTATTGAAGGATGCAATCCATTTTGGGAGGCTGGGGAGGGAGGTGACTACAGGAGCAGCAGGTGGTTGGTGCCATTGTATCTCTGTCAGGAGAAAGAGATTACGGTGGTATGAATAAGAATGCCCCCCCATAGGCTCATATATTTGAATGTTTTGTCATCGGGGAGCTGCACTACTTGAGAAGGATTAGGAGGTGTGGTCTTGTTAAAGGAAGTGTGTCACTGGGGATGGGCCAGTGGCTCTCTCTGCTAGCTTTCTGAGGATGGGGATGTGGGACTCAGCACCATGTTATAATGGACGAAACCTCTGAAACAGCAAGCAAGCTCCAATTGAATGCTTTCCTTTATAAGAGTTGCCATGGTTTCAGCCCTTTGAATGGAACCGCTTTGGAGGGGCGTTGCCCTTCCTCAGAAGTCCCCAGATTCCCACAGTAGATGCCCGTCAATCATGTGCTTGATGCTGACTTTATTTCCTCTCTTGGTTCATTTTCTAATGCTGTGGGTCAGGGACAAGAGCTTCTCGGGGCTCATTTCCTAAATTAAAATAAAGCATCTGTGCAGGTACCCTAACACCAGCATCTGCACCTGGGGTACCAGCTTCCCTGCACATGGTGGCATGGTGGGGGGCAGGGTCTCTGGTTTGTTTTTTACAATCTGACCATCTAGAAGTTTCCATTTGCTGTGACCTCTCATCTCAATGTGCACCATCCTGGGACTCAGGGATATCACCTCCTCCCTGGACCATGGGATGGTGAGGTCCAGATGCAAGATTTTCACAAGCATACCCTAACCTGGTTCCTTCCGGTTTCTGCCTCAGGGTGATGGGTGAGGCCGGGTACCCTGCCCCTCTGCGGCCATGGCTGTCTCCCGTAACAGTACATGGGACATTAGGGAGGACTCATCTCCCTAGCTCCTAAGGTAAGCAGACTTCTGAATAGGTCAAAGGTCACATCCCTTCTCTATAGCAAACCGTTTATCATGATTAATCTTGTTATTACAACTAGTTTTAGATGTCTCCAGAGAGGCTGTACTGTAAAGATTTTTATATTTGTGAGTGTGTGTGTGTGTGTGTGTGTGTTAGACCACGTGCTGGAGCAGGAGTTACAGGTTGGTGTGAGCAGTCTGTCATGGGTGCTGGGAATGGAACTTTGTCCTCTGAAAGAGCAGCAAGTGCTCTTAACCACTGAGTCATCTCTCTGGCCCCTCCCAGAGGATCTCAATGGAGATGAGACTCACTGTGAATGTGAGGCCACCAGTCCACGAGCAAAGGTTCCAGGCTTGCACCAAGAGGGCAAAGTGGGTTGAGCACCATCTCTCCCTGCTTCCCAACTGAGGGCATTTACGTCCCTGCCACCACAGCTAGAGTGTTCTTTCCACATAGATGAACTGGAGCCTCACACTGGGCGCCAAAATCAGCCTTTCCATCCTTAAGCTGCTTTTTGTCAGTGATTTTGTCACATCCATGAGAAAAGTATCAGGGCGCATTGACCTTCCCTCCTCAGCCAGGGTCCTAGAGGATTAACTCTCTCAAGTCCTTACCTGATTCGTTACCAAAGCCACTCATAGATGCTCTCTTGGTTTTCCCACAAACTCTTTAGCTCCAAGGAGGCAGTTGGAACCTGTATCCACCTTCCTCTCCCCTGTAACCTCTGATGCCTCCTCAGGCCACACACTCCTGCAAACACAACCCCATCTGAAGTTCCCTTATTCTTATATCTCCTACCCAGGCCCCTGGTCATGCCTCAAGCCCTAAC